CGCCTCCTGCCGCTGCCAGCAGCAAATCCAGGCTCTTCCCAGACAGCATGTGACCCAAGACCCCCAGCAAGCCCTCGGGGGACTTGGAGTGATCCGCATCCATGGTCTACAAAAAAAAAGAGGAAAGAGAAGTCACGGGGAATGTGTGCTACAGAACAGCAGTAAAACTCTGGCTGTGGGGGCAGAGTTGATCGCCTGCCAGAGCTGTCCTGTGAGGCCTCGGTGAGCAGGGACACGCAGGGCTCGGGGGGGTGGGGATGGAGCCCTCCGTGCCACAGGCACCGCAGGGCACGGCGCAGGGGAGAGCCGCAGCGCACTGGGGGCGCATGACGGGCAGCATGACTGGCAGCAAAACATCCCCTCGCGCTCAGCAGCAGCGAGGCAACCAGAGTGACGCAGGGACGGGGGTACTCCCCAGGGACTGGGGGAGATGCATGCGGGGAAGTGGCTGAGAGCAGGACAGACAGAGGTGGCTGGGCTCAGGCTGCTGGCACTGACAAGAAGCTCCTCCAGCTTCCTGGGAAGGAGGAGGGGAGCTCCTGGTCTCCACGGCAGAGCAGCAAGGCTGGGAGCGATTCCTCCATTCCTCCACCCCAGCACAGTGGGAGATCAGGCACCTCCCAACCACCCCAGCTTACTGGTGAATCCAGTGCTGCTGGAAACAGGCTCTGGGGCTGAGACCAGCCTGCCCAGCACGGACGCAGGAGGGGACTCACCTTCAGGATGTTGGTGACAGTCGGCTCGGCCCTCAGGATGAGTCCCGGGTTTGGCTGGATGTTGGCATTCTCTGCCGATTTCAAGCGCGGAGCGTGTTCTCTGTCTGCCGTCCTGGGGGATCCGCAAAGAAGGGCCAGTGAGCAGGAATTCATCACCCTGCCTCACTCCCCTCCACACCTCCCACCCACCTCCACCATCAGCACCCCCAAGGGAAGGCCACCACCTCAGGCCAACACCAGCTGCAACTCCAAGAGGACAGACTTTGACTGTACTCAAATCTGTCACTGAAAGCAAAGCCTCATCCCTCCAGGCCTCGGTGTCCCAGCTGCAGGACAGCCAGCGGCATCACAGCTGGCCCTTTATGCTCCCCTCCAAGGACAGCAAGACGAGGTGCTCCAACCCCACTTGGTTACCCAGACTTCGGAGGGGACTGTACCGTTTGGCAATCAGGTTGGTCATGTTGGCTTCTGAAAGCAGCCCCTGCTTGCTGCACTCCTGCAGGAGCAGACTCGTGCAGTCGCAGCTGAAAGAAAGAGAGCGCTAGCCT